TGAACTCGTTTTGCCTCTCACTGTTGGAAGGTTTGAAGAGAAGTCAATGAAATAGAAGGCTGGATTTCTGAACGGTCTAAATCTCTGCATTTCTGTTCTTGGTGCCAGTAAGGCCAATACAAGAGCATGGAGCACATTTTAAATTCACATTTTTTCCCGTGCTTTCATTAATGTAATATGCTTTGGACATCTTCATGCTAACATAGGAAACTCCCTTTGGATTAGAAGTCAAAGCCCCATGAGCACACAAAACTTCTGAAAACGTGTATCTGGGTGCAAGAGCCAAGTTGTGTTCACAACCAAAGGCTGCTGTAAGTTGCCTGCTAACTTTCAAAACCCAGCTTGATGGAGGTTTCTGCTAGCTCTGCCCCTCTCATTTAGAGGGCATGAATTGTAGACCAGAAACAATGCAAGACAAAGATCGTTTTTACACTGAACGCTGTTTGGCATGAGTTCTGACTGTTGCGCTGGGTGTGATTACAACAAATATTAACCAACAGTGCAATAACCAGACTCTGCTCCTAAACTAAATTCGGTTAGTTATGATGTGCACCCCACATCCAGCAAGCCAGGGCCCAATAGCTGGCAGTCATCTGGCAGAAGCAGCAGTCGAAACCACTTCAAATGCTAGTTATACTTAATCAAATGCACCTTTCTGGTTTCAGGGAGATAAAGCTAACATCACTATATTCCTTTCAGTATTTTTTCCATGCCTTACTTATGGTTATTTTTCAGCTGTCCTGAGTAGAAAACAGAGATATAGGAAAGCCCCACATTTCCATTTCTGTTTTCTTTCCTTGTCTACAATATTACGTTTGGCTTGCCTTCCAACTTGTCATTCACCTGTCTGTCTGTGACTGAACAGAGATCTGCATATAGATCCTTTATAAATTTTCAAAGATCAACATATGCATAAGGACTCTGTACCCAAGCAATCCAGTTTTAGGAAGACCTCTTTTGGCTACCTGGAGAGATTAGCAAAAACCCACCTAAAAGGCCCTACAGCATCTTCAGCAAAAATCCAAAGGAACCTCAGATCTTCACATAAAGACTGACACTGTAAATTGCAATGTATGATATTGTAGAAGATCGCCACAGTTTGAAGAAAACATGTCCAACAAACAAGTAGGTGACCAAGCAAAGATAAGCATTCAGTACCAAGTATTGAAAACCTTTTTAATTCATCCTTATACAGTTTTGATTCCAACAGCTTCAGTTGTCGTCCATGGGCATTCATTGAGCTTATCCAAAAGGTGTAACAGCATATTACAGGTTCATTATTTTTAGCACACCAACGCACAACACACTCAGAGTTCTCCACATCCTGAAGAACTGGAGGATTGTATCAGTCAGTCTTTCTTTCTTTCTTTCTTTCTTTCTTTCTTTCTTTCTTTCTTTCTTTCTTTCTTTCTTTTTTTTTTTTTTCCTGTCAGCTGTCAGATCAAGGACACATGATATTTTATGGAGACTTAATATCCTGCTGGAGTATATGTCCAGAATGCACAACTACATTTCTCAGAATAGAGGGTGTCTCTGTTGTATTAATCTTTAGAAGTTATACTGTCCTTTTCCAAAGTTTCACTCTGCTAGTAAGAGGTCAAATGCAATTTTTCCTCAAGTATGTAACCAGGAGGAGGATGCTTGTATCTCACTTAGTAGATGAAACTGCCAGGGAAAGAGTCCAGTTGCAGAGACAGACTTTCCAAGAGAGAGACATCTGTTCACTAACAACTGGACTGCAATTACCAAACATTTTCTTCAGATGTTACTGACCAGTAAGAAATCAGAAAACAGCTACACAACTGTGTTTTCCACGTTAATTTAAGTTTTTGGAGGTCTTATAAAAAATTAGAAGTTTCAGGAGTGTAATGGTAGCTTTTAAGAGTGCTGAGAAAGATCACCAAGACCCCCCATGCCAGACCAGTACGAATAAGTGAAAAATCACCATCCCTAAGAGCCGACAGCTAAGCAAAAGTAAGATGAACCACAGACAGGATATTCTTACTCAGTTTAAGGCTAGGGAAACATGGCACAGAGACCAACCAAGCAGCCTGCCTAGGTCTCTGGGAAGTGAACTTGAGCGCCCTTAATTAGCAGCATAACCAAACATCATCCTTCTCGCATAGTTTTTGCTAAACTAAACTGAAGAAATCATTCTATGATTTTCTTTTTAATTTGTTCCAGGACAACCTGCTACAGTCCAGGGAACATTAAAGTAGTACAGCAAAGCCCTCCCATTCTTGTACTGCAGTCTAGCCTAACCATCGCTGAAACTGCAGCCCAAACACTGCAGCATTTAGGTAGCGTTTCACATACCATACTCTGCATAATAACCTGAGAAAACAATAATCCTACTAACTGGCTCCAAATCCATCTTGGCATGTGTCTTCCAGGTCCTCCTCTAGACACCCATACATGAATGGGACTAGATTCAGCTGTGCTGGAAAAAAAGACAAATATACTTGCAGTGCAAGATGTTGCACCTTCCTTTATCCTACCATGACAAAATCACTTTCAAGGAGGGCAGCTGCCGGATGCTACCTGGGTAGATATCTTCTTCCCAGAAGAAATAGATGTGAGGGTTGTGGAGGTCAAAGCTGCTAACACGTGCTGAAATGAAGTCAGTTGGCCCAGCAGCTGCATTACCCTGGGTAAAAGGGGTCAAAGGGAAGGTAGAAAGGGCATAGTTGTCTTAGCCAAGAAAAGCACTGCTTCAGAGTATGTTGGTTACAACATCCATTGTCTGGATTAAGCAAGCATCTTCTGAATGAACATTTGCAGCTGTCTTCTCCTTTATTCCTCTCTGAATTTCATCAATACTTGACCTCTTTGCGAGGTATTAAGAAGCGGATTTCAAATTACTAGCCTGACAAAAAACCTTTTTATGAATTATACTGGAGTTAGAAACAAAACCTACTCTTAAGTCACAATTTTCAACTTTTACAATTTGGACAAGGTGTTTTTTCCCCCTTGTAGTTTTATAGTGGAGGATTTGCAGAAGTGTTCACACCACAGTTCCTTAGAGCCTTAGATTTCCTGTTAATGCACTCTGAGTTTCTGCTCTGTGATTAGATGCTCTCCACTGCAGAAACTTTCTAAGAAATCTCATACATTTGTAAGACTGGTGCTGTGACTCTATAAGCAAAACTGAAATCACCACTGTAGACAAGGATCCTATGACTAATTATTAATTCCACATCTCCTCTCCTAACAGAATCTGAACAGGTCTAAAGGGCGCTTCGAAAATAGCTACTGAACTAAGACCCTCGCTTCTTAGGTTCACAGAACTGCAGTGGTGATTGCTTTAACAGAATCAAGCGATCTCATGTGAAGATAAGGTTGTAGTTTGCACCTGCAATTAATATGCTGCTGTGTCCCAAAACTTCCACAAAGTGTTTTTATTGGACAGGAAGTTAGACCTGTCCTCCTCTGATATTTTAGCTCAGTGAAAACACTGACTGGCAGTTTGCAAGAAATGAAATCACTGTTTTGCACCAGCCTGAAACCTATGAACGATCCTGAGTTAACAGCAGAAGGCCTGTATGTAGTAGCCAGAAAACCTGAAGCCTGTCAAGCTTTGAGCTTGATCTGGATGTTCTCTTCTTATAAAGCTTTCTTTCTTCAGTACACAGCATTGTATGAAGCAAGCCTCCCATGACAGATTAAAAAAAAAAATTTAAAAATCAGCACACATTACAACACTGCTAGAACACACATGGAGAATGAAGGAATGTCGAGTTAATTTCCTTACCCAAATTTGCCACAGCTGCTTGGCTATTTTCAACTACAGTAATCATAATAATAATAAAAAAAGTCATGGTGAAAATAATGAAATTGAGTTAATGATTACTCATACATTTTAAAATCCATTAGTAAGAGATAAGTAAATGTTATTTCAGGGAAAACACACACAAAAATAATGTTTATTGCAAGACTAAAAAATTTAGCTTAGAATTGCTTAACCATTTTTTTAGTATCAGTTTAAATCTTGAAAGTAATTGTTTGTTTAAGAGGACTAATAAGAGGCACTATAAGACAAGACAATACAACTGGGAATTCTGCTCCTACTGACAACACAGAATAACAGCTCTTGGGAGTTCATCTGGTTCGACATCTGTTCAAAGCACAGCTGACTGGCACTGGGTCAGGTTGCTCAGGGACTTGTTCCCAAGTCGACAGAAAAAAACAAACCAGTACCTACCAGTGAAATTACATCATTCAAGTGAGTCCTGGGAGTGAGCCTAGTTCAAGGAAGTTCTTTCCAGTTTTACTATCACACTTGAACTACTGCTTCCACAGAATGGGAAAAGTACTATTGTCTAGCTGATCCAGATTAAAAGTATGAGGATTTTTTTTTTTTTTTTCAGAAAATAATATAAAATTATTATCTTAGTTCAACTAAGTATTATCGCATCCTTGGGAAATGTACCAGCAGTACCAAATATTGCAAGTATAAGTCTATTTGAGGAACTGCCTGCTCTGACAAAAATGAAGATTTGATAATTACTAATAGAAGCAGCAAGTGCAGTGTAAATGTTAGAGTGTGAGATAATGAGCCAAAATACTTGCCTCTCCTCCCATCTTGGCCATGTAATTAGTGTGTGATCTTGAACAAGATATTCAAGTATTTAAGAGTAATGCACTGATTTTGGAATTGAAAGTCTAAATAATGTGAAACTTCAGGTGTGGGACAACTGGCATTATAGGAGAAGAAAGGACAGCCGATGTTGCCTCACAGTCAAGACACAAATACTTCATGGATATAACTTCTGGAATACTTCATACTAATACCTGCGACATTCAAGAACATTGGTATGTTCATAGCAGCTTACTCTTGACTTACAGTCTCCACATGTTCACTTCATAGTTATTCCTTTAAAACTACTATGAGACTGTCAGGAGTATTACAGATATTTAAAGTACAAATTCCACCATTATGCATGACAGGATTCAGCTCCTAATCTCTAAATTAGTCGAAATACAAGAAAATAATTCTTTACCTTCTTGAGTATCTCTTTCAGGGGAATGCCAGAGTTAAACAATTGCTTTTGTCTCTCTCCATGTCTTCTCAAATGCTTGTCCAATCTTTGTCCTGTCTCAAGCAACAAGAGTAGTAGTTGCAAAACGACTCTTGGTGTTGTGAACAACTGTCAGTATACCTGAGAATAACAATAATAATTTATTGCCCAGTGCTAAGAAAAATATTCTGTAAATCCTTAGCTGTTACCTGAGCTATTGCTTGTCTCTGAGCAGAACAATGTTTTGTTGAAAAAAGAAAAGTTACCACTAAATTTTTAATTACACATTAGTATCCTACATAATTTATTTTCCATTTCCTCGGTTCTTACTGAGATCAGTGCTCTGAGTCATATTTCATCCCCAAGTCTAGCATTTGGAGCATGCAAGACCTTCCAAGGAAGAATTCCAAAAGCTTTCTGATGTTTTGGTCCTACGTGCTCATACGCTGCCTTTAGCTCTGCTCCCAGTGCTCTTGGACAGCTTCCTCCTGAACAGAATCAAGATTTTCTGAGAACCTGACATTGCCTAGGCAGCAGTCAGTGAAATCACACAGACGTGCATGCTGTTGAACAAAACGTTCCAAAGGTTAAAAAAAAAAAAAAAAGAGGCAAAAAAAAGCGCGCTATCATCTAGCATGCTTTTGACTCAGTTTCTAAGTCCCCTCCCCTGTAAAAAATCTCAAGTTTTATAAGATAGCAGAATTTATGGAAAGACATGGAAAAGACATTACTATTATAGTATTAAACACAGCACAGTGTCTGTGCACATGTATTTATGCTTTTAAAGAGAAAAGTTAATACTTTAAGAGCTAAAGGGAAAACATTTCTAACTCCTTAGAATCAATCAAATTGCATTTCTTACAAGATTCCTCTACCTCCCACTTTTCTTCCTTCATCCCTTCTTTTCTTCTTTATTCACTTCATTAAAAAAAAAAAAAAAAAAAAAACCCAGAGAACCTTCTGAAGGTTCCCTGAGGCAGAAAGTAAGCAAACAGAACATACATTTTCTCCAAACCCTGCAAGGTATGTATTTGGATGGGGAAGTGAATCTTTGTTCTTTGTAAGTGACAGCAAACAGATGAGCAATTTCTGAAAGGGGAAGAGAATAATCAAATAAATAATTTTATCTAGTACAGTAAATTTCACATCCTATAAAGGGGCAAAAATGCAACAGGACTTACCTGAAACTTTCTATTGCAGATAAAAAGAAAACTTCAGAAAACTCAGGAGATGAAGATGAATTATTTTAAAATCTGTGAAACTGACATCAGAATTTTTTTTTACCTTTTTTTTTTTTTACTTATTTTTACTTTTTTTTCTTCTCACTTTGAATATCCAGTCTTACATTCTTTGCAAAGACAGATTTAGTCTTCTACTGTTGCGACAGGGTCCTTATGAAGATTACAGGTACTGTGCTGCTACTATACCTTTTCCTAATCTCCAGGAACTGGTACAAATTACTCATTTACTAGTTGTCCAAATGGACACTAAATCAATCTCATTCATTTTCTGAAGCATCCTGGAAAGCCATATATACTTATGTAACACTTCTTGAAGCATTGCTTGGAACTTTTCAGGTAGAAGCTCTGGAATGAAGAATTTGGAAATAGCTGAAAAGTCAATGGCAAACTGAGGGAGACCCTGCTAAGCAAATCATCCTCAAGACAAAAGGTGCAAGGTCCTGCCTTTTTCACTCAGTTGCCAGGCTCAAAACACTGTTGACTGACAACTGTGATGCTTAAATGTATAGACTTATTTGTCTCCAAAATTCCTGTCCTCATTAGTTGTTTCAGGGAAGATGCTGCTTCAAATTTGGTGATACTTTTTAAAATAAGAGATTGACAAATCACAATGAAGTAAAAAGAGATGGTAAACAAGGATTTGTAATCCAATCCAAGAAAGAACTGTAGAATGGTGGAAGTCTACACATTAAAGTCCTCATACTTGCCTGCAAGAAAATTGTAATGGCTTCAAAGTGGCAAGTTACAGCCAGTTTTCTATTGTGTTGTCTCATGTCCCATGGCAAAATAAGTTTTCCTCTTTCTTTCACCAGATGGTCTGGTTTTCTAAGTTTGTTCCATTGTCCTAAAAGGCCTTTCATATGTCTGTTTAATAACTGCCTTGGGTTATTAAACTCTGCAATTGCTTGGCCCCTGGTTCTAAACAAAATAAAACAAAGCAATCTTTTCTCAAGCACTGTCAATAAATTTAAGGAAATGAACTGCACTCCAACACCACCAAAGAAGAGAACGTTCTCACTCTTGTGGTTTCAAATTTGAAAAGGACTAGAGAAGAATTCCGTATCCCCCCTCTACCTGAAAGGGTTGGAGAATGCAACCATAATCTCTCTGAGGGAGAAGATTAGATTGCTACTACTATCACTAGCAGGGTCTTGACTCAGTGACACTTCAGGGGGTTGTATTTGCATTTTGTTTGTTTGTTTTAAACACCTGGCCTAAATTTCTACCATTATGAAATATGATATTTCACTTAAAAATTTTGGGGGTATGGACTGTTTTATGGTTCCCACAACAGAGCAGGTCTTATTCTTAGACAAGTCTGAATGTGGGACTGATGCAAAGGTGACTTCAAACTGACTGCATTCATCAAATAATAAAGCTGCTGCAAGCATGCAGGTAGTCCCCTCTTTATTTATATGTTCAAAGCATAGCAGCAGTTGGTGCAGCAGATAAGACAGGCTAAACGCTTTCTTTCAGATTTTTTAGCTTGGTAGGCTTCTGATAAATGTTATAAACTGAGAAAGGTGGGTGGAGTGGACAAAACTGTGTGCACAAAATGAAACACTTAATAAAACAGAGGATGAGATTCAGGGAAATAGGTTTATGCTCTTTAACATACTTGCTTCTAGAAGAATAAAACACACAAAAAGTGCACAAATACGAGGAGGTAAGTAGTTTGCACAGCTATGAATATTAACCATAGACTATTCTATGGGCAGGAACAGCTTTAGCATGGTAAGTCGTGTATACAGCATAGGACTTAATATTTTTGGCAATTATATGAAGTTCCATGTAATTCTGCAGAATATAGAAAAAGCAATTTTAGGGAAATGTGGAATTAAGTACTTGCTGGGCTTAATTTGTGAGCATCTTTAGAACAGTTAGGATTCCTAACACTGGCAAAATAGTATTATCCAAAACACTACGGTTGACTTTTAGAGAATCGCGTTTCATTTTTTTAATGCTTGTAATAGAATGATGGTTTTGTGCTCCTCATAATAAAACACTAACTATTGTATTGGCCAAGTTTTAAGAAAGTACTAATCCCCATTGTAGTTAAAATCTCTCAATGAGCTTTAAACTCTGCTTTGGGTAAGCAGCTTTATGGAGAAAACACGTACCTGATGTGTGCATACAACACAGTGTGTCCCTAACATGCTAAATGCCTGGTTTGGTTTGGTTTTTTTAAGGAATAATACCAAGAGGAAAGAACTGTTGCAATGTAGAAGAACTGCATACTGCAAAAAACTGAACAATTGCAGCGAGTCATCCAGTGAGTCATTAAGTCAATGAAACTAAAGAATCAACTGTAGCACTGGACCCAATCAAGGTGATATGGATGTTTTAATTTTTCCTTCAAAAAGAACCTTGTTTTCACCTTCCTCATCTCCCATATCCACAGATTGGTATGCATAGTCCCTTTGACCAGGTTCAAAACAGAGTTTGTTAAAGGAAAAAGGACCGAAGAAGGTGATAGGCACCAGGGTAAAATAACCCAAACAAACCAACCACCAGGAAGCATTCAGGACTTCAGGAAGGAGTGTCTCGTTTCAGTCTTGGAAGTGTTTTAATGATTTCCTGTTTAATGACAGTGAGAGTAGGAATGTAGATGAAGGGTGATAGGATTTCTACTGACAGGATAAACTACACCTCAGAGCTGCCAAAAACCTATCAGCCCTGCTCCTTGGTTCCCATCCCGGCAAAGCTTGACTTCTTAACTCGAACAAGAAGCAACTTCCAAATGCCACTAGCTTGAGCCATCAAAATGCTATGCCTCCCACCAGAAAGGCCAGAAAAATGTATAAACCTGTTTGATCTATAGCCTAAAGCTCAGAACCTGCCAGAAAAAATACTTTTTAAAAAAAAATATCTGGGAGAGACATAATGGAGTAACAGCACCATTTTCTGTAAAGTGAATCGTCTGTTTAAGAGACATTTTAGGCCAGTTTGAAGATTCTGTGCATGTTTGTTTCTGATTTTCCAAGCCACCAAATCATTCAAGAGCCTTCTCAGTTCAGAGGCCTCTGATTTGCACAGGTTCTGCAAGCATGTCTTGCTGAAGGTCAGCAACATAATCTCTGAATGAATCCTGAAACAGAAGACTTCTCTTAAATCCCATGTATGAGGAAGACACTGAGCACTGGACTGCTGGCAGGTTAGCAAACGATCTCCCAAACAACATTAAAAGATGAGTGGCCCTATTCTGTCCTTAAACGTTAACATGAGCCAGCTCAAACTATAAACCCCTCAGCAAAGAGGAATAGGTGTCTGGGCTAGACCCTTCCCTACCGCATGTCTGGAAAGGGAGCAGTACAGTAAGTTTACACGTGCATGACAATTGCCCGTAGAATGTTTTCTGCTCATGTCTGAATAGTACCAAGGAAAGATGTCTGTGGATAGCCAGCTGCTGTCAGCCACCACTTCTCATCCACTTGCAGTGCTTTTCTAATTCGGACTCAAGGTACTTTATCCTATCTCTGCAGGAATGATTTGCCAACTTCCCAGCAAAGGCAGCAGATGGGAACAAACTGCTGCTCCAACAGAACAATTCATCTAGCTCGAATTTCTCTTGAGTTTATCTGCTCTAACATAGAACAGAACGATGAAAATGCTTTTCAAGAATTTTATTAACCCTTTAATAGCAGTGAGTGAATAATGCTCTCTCTAGAAAACATGAAGATGACTGGTGCCACAGATTTGCATGAAAGTTTGCACAGTTACTGGTTTTCATAAGACATAATGCTGCCTGGGAATGTCTCTGGCAGAGTACCAGGAAAGACACATCATGCAGTAAGGATTATCACTGCTC